GCAGGTCAAGTTTGGGAAGCTCCCATTTACTGTGGTGGTTATTATCACAGACTATCTCATTCACCTCACAATGGCCCTTTGGGGGAAGTATGATGACCCACTTTATAGGTATGGCTCTGAGACCTCAGTCCTATGGACTCCAGAGCCTCACAGTGCTCAGGACAGGCTCACAAAGAAGCATTTTAGAGAAGCACACATCCTCAGAGTTGACTGAGGCCTTAAGTCAACTTGTTCATCTCCCCTCCTGCAAAGAGATGCTCAGGTTTCTACCAACATTCAGCATCCCAAAGAGCTTCTTGCCTCCCTCCCAGGCCTGAGGGTGCACAACCTCTCCAGCCAACCCAGCGCATCCTTGGGCAGCTCTGACTAGTAAAAATGCTCTCATGAAAAGTCCTTATTTCTACCCATCAGCTTCACATCCTCTGCTGGTATCTAACAGAGCAAAGCTAATCTGCATAGGCAGCCTCCAGTTCTCCAGAGGAAGTTATCACCCCACCTCCCCAAGGGTTTAGAAAGATCACCACAGAAAGAGATTGCAAAGGCTGCTCAGTATGAAATGGTTTCATGCAGGTTAACAAATATCTTTCCTTGATAAAAAGTATCAGAGAAGATATCCACGAGGGCAATGTGGGGGGTGGGGGTGGGGGGGTAGGGAAGTAGAGCAGCAAAAACCATAAAACCTGAACAACAGTCTTCACAGAAAACATTAATATTGCCAGATGGAGCTTCTGGGAGCAACCGAAATCCTTGTGTTACAAAGGAGGAACTGAAAAGCAGACAGCCAAAGTGACACGAAGGAACACAGCTATTAAGCGTCAGGGCCACAGTCAGAACCCTTTGTACCCACAGCCCAGTCCTCTGCCCAGTGCCACCACCCATCTCCCTGCTCCAAAATGCTAGAGCAGCACCCCAGACTATGGAACAGCACCCATAATAACAGCACTGGTATGTCTCACTTTCACCACATCCCCCAGAGGTAAAGGGAGGAAAAAGTATTGGCTCCACTTTACAGAGGGTAACAATGAGGATCGGAGAAGTGAAGGCACGCCTTGGGTTTTCCTGGCAACGGAATTTATACTTGGAACCCAAAGCCCACTTAAGACTCTGCTCTTTGTTGACAATGGGCTATTGAAAGGGGCTGTGGGGTATCTTTCTCTGGAAAAGGCTTTACTAACTCAAGGAAGGGAGCCGCCTCCGCCTGCTGTGCAGTGGGTGCATAGATACTTATAATGGTTATATCCTTTTGTTGGACTGACCTCTTTATCATTATGTAATATCCTTCTATGTCTCTTGGTACTTTCTTTGCTTTGAAGTCTATTTTGTCTGATCTGAGTATTGCTACTCCTGCTTTTTTCTCCCTATTATTTGCATGAAGTATCTTTTTCTATCCCTTCCCTTTTGTCTGTGTATGTCTTTGGGTTTGTAATGAGCCTCTTGTAGGCAGCATACAGATGGGTCTTGTTTTTTTTATCCATTCTGTCACTCTACATTTTTTGATTGGTGTATTCAGTCCATTTACATTTAGGGTGATTATCAATAGATATGTATTTATTGCCATTGTAGACTTTACATTTGTGGTTACCAAAGGTTCAAGGATAGCTTCCTTACTATCTAATAGTCTAAATCACTGATTACTCTATTTCAAACACAATCCAAACATCTTTTTTTAAACAAATGAAACTTTAAAGGAAGTATAGCTCCACGTTTCATATGGGCTCATACCATAACTGCTCTCCTGGGGAACTCTGATGCCCAGAGATCCCTGAACTTTGAATGGGGAAGGAGTCCAAGGACAAGCCCTTTTAGATACTGCAAGACACAAGACAGAACAGAAAGGATAAAAGTCTGGCCTTTAGAGTGCCAGGTGTTGACTTCATTAGTGTGGTCCTATTGGTTCTGGCCTAGGAGGGGCCATTATATCTCAAGTTATTTCCAGTCCTCCTTAGACCAATCTCAAAGGGGGTCCAAAGTCCTTGACCTTTATGCCATACATCAGTGGCTTCTCTGTTACCATTATCTGCCTTTGATTTGGGGGTTCTCTTTTCATGAGATGCACCCCTTTGTTTTCCCTATATGATCATTTACTCTTTCAGACCCACTTGATACAACACTGCCTGCCACAATGCCCAGCAGGATGACATCAAAAAGGATGAGCATGAGCATGAGCATGAGCATGGCCAGCACATCAAGATCAAACAGCACCGACTGTGGTATATGTGAAGCCCTCACCAACGGAGAGCATCCAGGATCCCTGCCTTCTTCTCAGGAGACTCTACAGGCCTCTGGAAAGATCAGACTTGATCTTAACAAGGGCTTGAATAGGGACCTGACCTCAAACATCACACATCCCCCACTCCCTAATGCCCTGTCCCCAGCTGGCCAGCCAACGGGACTTCCTGTGGTTGTTTCTACCACAAGGATGACATCTTATTATCTGTTTCTTGCATGTCTCCCTATCTGATTTTGAACTTTCTAAGCTCCAGGAATATGTGTCAATCACCATTATACCCCAGCACCTAGCATAGTGCCTCAGACAGGGCAGGTGTTTAGTACATTTGCTGAATGGAAAGAGGCCAGGTAAGCTGGTCCTGGAAAGGAATTGTCTGGACATTGGAGAGCCTAAGTTCAGCTAGTGGGATATCAGCAACAACTGCCTTGTGGGATAGGCTGGTCAGCACCACACATTCCTGGCAAGCCTGGCCCAGTCTCTGAGGCAGCAGGCTGCTGGGGAAGCTTATCAGGAGGAGCAGTACAACACATAAGCAGCGTCAGGTCTTGTGACCCTGGCCTTAGGGAGGCAGGAGGGTCAGTGTGGAAGCTGCCCCCAGCAGGTCAAGTTTGGGAAGCTCCCATTTACTGTGGTGGTTATTATCACAGACTATCTCATTCACCTCACAATGGCCCTATGGGGGAAGTATGATGACCCACTTTATAGGTATGGCTCTGAGACCTCAGTCCTATGGACTCCAGAGCCTCACAGTGCTCAGGACAGGCTCACAAAGAAGCATTTTAGAGAAGCACACATCCTCAGAGTTGACTGAGGCCTTAAGTCAACTTGTTCATCTCCCCTCCTGCAAAGAGATGCTCAGGTTCCTACCAACATTCAGCATCCCAAAGAGCTTCTTGCCTCCCTCCCAGGCCTGAGGGTGCACAACCTCTCCAGCCAACCCAGCGCATCCTTGGGCAGCTCTGACTAGTAAAAATGCTCTCATGAAAAGTCCTTATTTCTACCCATCAGCTTCACATCCTCTGCTGGTATCTAACAGAGCAAAGCTAATCTGCATAGACAGCCTCCAGTTCTCCAGAGGAAGTTATCACCCCACCTCCCCAAGGGTTTAGAAAGATCACCACAGAAAGAGATTGCAAAGGCTGCTCAGTATGAAATGGTTTCATGCAGGTTAACAAATATCTTTCCTTGATAAAAAGTATCAGAGAAGATATCCACGAGGGCAATGTGGGGGGTGGGGGTGGGGGGGTAGGGAAGTAGAGCAGCAAAAACCATAAAACCTGAACAACAGTCTTCACAGAAAACATTAATATTGCCAGATGGAGCTTCTGGGAGCAACCGAAATCCTTGTGTTACAAAGGAGGAACTGAAAAGCAGACAGCCAAAGTGACACGAAGGAACACAGCTATTAAGCGTCAGGGCCACAGTGAGAACCCTTTGTACCCACAGCCCAGTCCTCTGCCCAGTGCCACCACCCATCTCCAAAATGCTAGAGCAGCACCCCAGACTATGGAACAGCACCCATAATAACAGCACTGGTATGTCTCACTTTCACCACATCCCCCAGAGGTAAAGGGAGGAAAAAGTATTGGCTCCACTTTACAGAGGGTAACAATGAGGCTCGGAGAAGTGAAGGCACGCCTTGGGTTTTCCTGGCAACGGAATTTATACTTGGAACCCAAAGCCCACTTAAGACTCTGCTCTTTGTTGACAATGGGCTATTGAAAGGGGCTGTGGGGTATCTTTCTCTGGAAAAGGCTTTACTAACTCAAGGAAGGGAGCCGCCTCCGCCTGCTGTGCAGGTTTGCATTGTTTTATGATTGCTGGGCGTGCTGATCGAGGAAGATCTTCAAAACCACACTCCCCTTTCCTTTCCAGCTCCCTGAACAGCACACTTCAGGGAAAGAGCCCCGCAGAGAGAGAGCATCAGGAACCGGGGTCCTTCTGGTGGTGCCTGGCCGGCTCTGGGACCTGCGGCATCCCTCCCACCCAGGCTGAGTTCTGGTTTCGTCTTCTTAAAAAACAGGGGCAAGAAATTCTGCCCTGTCAGTAATTGGGATGTTAGGAAGCTCCGATGACAAAGAGCAAGCAGGAGGGGAAGCCTCACTCCCACAGCAAGTGTCCCTTTGCTTCTCCCCCTTCCCCATCGCCTCCTTGGAAGCCCTGAGGAACAGGTGAAAGGGCTGTAGGTGAAGCAGGTGAAAGTCTCACCCAATACCATGGAGGAGGCAGAAAAACAACTGCGACACCCTCCCAGTAGTCCCTCACACTCATTCAGGGCCTGTATTTTTCTAAAGAGCTTTTACAGTAATTCACTATCTATTAGTCCCATTTGTGCTTTGCACCACACAACGGACTCTGCAGGATCTCTCGCTTTCATCCTCACAACCACCCATTTTAAAGATGACAAGATTAGGCTCAGAGGTTAAAGGAGAGCTACTAAGCAGTGGAGACAGGAGGAAACGTCAGTTCTATTCAGGCCAGGGCTTCCCAAATTTTAATTTGCTCATGACTCACCTGGGGAGACCTGTGAATAATCAGACTCCTGATTCCGTAGGCTGAGACTGGGCTCTACACTTGCAACAAGCTCCCAGGTAAATGGACTACTTTGTATCTGGGGCTAGATTTAATTTCCATTAAGACAGCGCCTGTCTCACCCAATCCCCAGGGCTTAGCACTGGGCCTGCCCCATAGAATGCACTCAATAATTATTTGTTGAATGAGTCAATGAGTACCTGACTCAAAAACCAATGCTTAAACAATTCTCTGTATCAAGTCCCATTACGTCATTGGACCTAGTAACAAATCTCTAAGGTGTGTTCATCCCCATTTGACAGATACGGAAACAGGCTCAAAGGAGAAACAGCCTAGGGTTTTACAGCTTTTGCAACAGGGCTGCAGGCAGTCTACATTCAGATCCGTCGCCCTGAGCACAGCTGTCCCAAGGTTGAGGGGGAAAATAATAACTAGAGACCGCAGGAGGGCGAGAAGCTGGACCTATCCGGGCATGTGACCAGCTCACGGCGCCGGTCACCCAGGAGCTCCGAGCTGCTCCCCGGGGGAGGGGTACCCAGGCTCTGTGCCCCCGTGAGGGGACACGGAGGAGGGAAGAAGGCCGGTCCTGGGCAGAGCGCCTGGCAGCGGCGGGCAGGTGGCGAGTGACCCCTGCCCTGACGGAGAGCCCCGCTGGGCCCAAGCACCCCCGCGGGTCCCAGCTCCGGTCTGACGCTGTCCAGCACGGGGTGTGGGCGGGCGGGGGAGGGCCAGGGGCATCCCAGGAAATTGCAGCCTGGCGATGAATCACCCGGCCAACGACCCCGCAGCGGAGGGTGCGGGACGGGCGCGGGATGCGTCTGGGCTCGGGGAGCGCAGGCCTCGCGCCCGTCAACCTCGCTCGCTTTGGGGCGCGAGGGGAAGCCTGCCCCGCGCAGCCCCAGTCCCGACCCCCGGGTTTCCCGGTGGGGCGGCACTCACGGCCTTCAGCTGCTCCAGCCGGTCCTTCATCCCGGCGTCCCGGCGCCCGGAGGCAGGCGAGCGCGTCCCAGGTGAGCGCCCGGAAGTGGCGGCCGCGCCGGCCGCGGCCAAGGAGCTGGCGGTGCGGGCGGAGGCGGGCGGCGGCCGAGGGCAAGGAGGAGCGTCCGAGGCCAAGGCAAGCTCCGCCGCGCCGCCCCCTCCGGCCCCGCCGGCGCCGCGCGCTCCAAATCCGGCTCCGCGGCCGGCGCGCGGCGCTGATCCTCCCGCGGGCCCGCCCCTCACCTGGCCGCGCCCCGCGCTGCTGCTTAAAGGGCCCCCGCGCGCCCGCAGTCCGCCGCGTCTGGCCGCACCTTCCCTCGCCCGGTGTCTCTCCGCGGCCCGGGAAGTCCGTGCAGGGTCCGGGCGCTGGAAGATCGCCGCAGGGCCGAGGAAGAGCAAGTAGGCCGGCTGACCTCAATTCCATCCTGTCCACGGGGCAGCCACTCGCTACCTGTGCAGCTCTGAACAGACTCCTGCAGGGCTAGGCGGCGCCGACGTCCGTAAACAAAGGACTCTAAGATCTTGTCTTGTGTGCTGAGTAGGTGCGGGAGAGAGCAACTCACTCCGCCTCAGGGAAGGGCATTCCAGCAGCGGAATGCTCGCGGGCCCTGCGTGAGGTGTAGAGAGAGGGTTTCCTGGAGGAACGAGCGGCGACGGGGCGGCACCGGGCATGCGGGGACAAGGAACCTGGATTTCGTGCTGTTGGTAGTCGGGACCACCAGGAGAAATAAATGTAAGCAGTTCAGTGTTCACGTCAGAACACCTGCCACTAACAATCAGTTTCACTCTGGGAAAATCACTGTCTCTCTAGGGGACTCCGTTTTTATATCTATAAATCAGAGAAACTGCTGCGAGGCCTGCCTATAAGACCGAGGAGGAATGGGTGGTAACGCACAGGCAGGGCTGTAAGATAAGGATGTTTGTGTTGTAAAGCTAAGCCGTCCTCATCTCCTAGGCGGTGTGGACATTCCCAGGCGGGTCGTACCTTCTGGAAAGGTGTGCCGGCTCCTCGCACAGCCCCGCCCTCTCTACCCCGTCTCCTCCGCCACCCCTCTTCCTTCTCCGTCTTCCTTCTTGGGAACAAATGACACATCCGGCAGAGAGCGGCGCTCCGTAACTGGGACTGACAGTCCAAAGATTCAGTTCTCAAGTCAAGACAAGAATCTGCTCTGTGCATTCAGGTTAAAAGGCTGTCACTTCTGTTACAGAACTCTGCTCTGCTGTGCGCTCTCTGCGCGTGCTGCACGCTGACCTCATCGCCGGGTGTGATAACAGAGGTTGCCTGCAGCCCCTACACTTCCTTCTACTCCACATTCGCTGGGTGGGTTCGGTCTTTAGTAAAGGGAAGGCTTCTGCGCCCCCTGGTGGCCATAAATGAGAAGGTGACTAAATCATAAATCGTAGCCCACCTCCTTCCCTTAACAAATTTTCGTTCCTGGGTGTAGATAAAATTGTAACATTTCCAGAATATCTCGCCGAGCTTTAGTACATCTTTATATCAATAGGCATTCAGAGGTGGAAAAGAGAATGGCTTTAGTGCATTTGCATCATTCCTCATGGGTGGAGAGTTCATCTCCACATCAATGGGTAATTACCTGGGCAACAGAGGGCTTACCTGTACCTGAGAGGTGAGGGGGAGGGCCGATTTTGCTTCTGCTGGAGCAGGAAAGAGAGCCCTGGACTGGAGTTTGTAAGCAATAAATGGGTTTTAAACTTTATTTCTCCCTTTGACTGATTGCGGTTTTTAGAGGTATTTTGCCCCAGGGTTTCCTTTCCCGGACTTACACTGGGGATAGCTAGATCCCCACGCTTCAGACAAAGAGATTTCCCCGAGAGAGACAGTATGTGAGCAACTCTTTACATCAGAAGTCTGAAAGGGACCAAAGGAATCCAGTAAGGATCTGGGATGGCCATTCAGCCTTGCCTGAACACATCCAAGGATGGAACATCCAAGCCTCCTTGTGAAAGATAATTGGCTTTAATAGAATAAAATTATGACTCACAGACAACTATAAAATGAACACACATCAAAGATTTTATTTAAGTCATTCATTAGTAAGGGAACCATTAAGGTATCAAAAACAGGTTCAAAGAACCCAAAGAACACACACACAGGCAATCAGGAATGCTGAATGGAATAAGTTAAATGCAAAACTGGCTTCAGGGAAGGGGTGAGGGGAGTTGAATTGCACCATCCTTGGAAAATTCATTGCATCTCTACTATCAGTTTTCTACAATTTGAAGAACTGTGAACTAGCTGCAAGACTATAAAAGGCATTAGAGAAGGCCTAGCAAGCTAGCCACCTAATAATCTTTTTTTTTTTTCCGTTGTAATTTTTTCAGTTTTTCCAGACACTCTGTGGGAATCATCTACCCTGGTGGAACAACTTTCCTGTTAAAAAGATTCTTTTCACACAAAACAAAAATTTTCCACCCTACAACTTCCACAGCTATTTCTTGCTTCTGACGTTTGTCCAAGCATTTAAGTTAATCTGTCCCTCATAAGATGGGTCTAACTCCAGAGGGAAAATCCTGGGGCAAAAATACCTTTGAAACCAAAATCAGTCAAAGGGAGAAATAAAGTGGGAGAAACCCATTTATTTCTTACAAGCAGTCCACTTCTGCTCTCCCGTGTCTCTCCCTACCCAGCTGCAGAGGAGGCCCCCCACCAACCTCTCCAGTCCAGATAAGCCCTGGCCAGCCTTTGTAATTACTTATTGATATGGAGACTGACTACTTCTCTCCACCCCTTGGAAACACCTGTTGTATGGAGATGCACTAAAGCCACGATTGCAATTTTACCCACAATGGGCTTTCCATGAAGGGAGAGTTTTCCATGAAGATCAAAGCAAAAACTCTAGAGACCAAGAGATCTGTGAAATAAGGTTTTATTGAGCCTTTACAGATGCTAGCCAGGTAAGGACTGAGTCCTGGGACGGGACATTTCTGCTTCACCAGCAGCAAGGCCAGTTAACAGAAACCACTTGTCCACCAGACTCAAGAAACAGCACATTGATGAAGGGTCTCAAGGAAAGAAAGTTCATTAAATTCACATTGGCTACAGATAAGGAAGGCGGATGAACTTGAAGAGGGGAAAGTCCTGGGATAGGTGGTTAGTCCACAGAGAAGGCTAGTTGGTTGTTAATGATGATCAGACACTGGTCATGTGCAAGGGGGCTGCGGTGGTCCTGGGGACCTTCTAGATGCTTATTGAAATGATTCATCAAGGAATGTGGAGTTTCTGGTTAGCTGCAGCCTGCAACTATTGACTGATGACCTACCCTCTCGTGCCCTCATTCTATGGCCCTTAAGTCACTTAATTTAAGACATACCAGAATTTTGCCTTGTCAAAGGGTCAATAGGACAATACTGCCATGTAGCCTGAGTCCTGACCTGGAGCTTCTGCTACAAAAGAGCTGTCACTTGACATCATACAATGTACTTTCTCATCTGCGAAATAAGAGGACTAAGCAAATCAGTGATTCCCACATTTTCAAGATCAACAATACCATATATTCTTTACTTTCATTTGTGGATATCTTGTTTTGGAAGATTCCCTATCCCTAGAAAAATATATTTGCAAGTAATCAGAAATTTGGTTTCCTGAAACTCATAGATACAGAGTCGGTAGGGGGAGAGTGGGGGAGACGGGGGGCAAAATGGGTGAAGGGGGTCAAAGGGACAAACTTCCAGTTATAAGATAAACATAAGTCCTGGGAATGCAATACACAGCACAGTGAGTATAGTAAAGAGTACCGTATTATATATTTGAAAGTTGCCAAAAGAGCAGATCTTAAAAGTTCTCATCACAAGAAAAAAAATGTGCTCACTATGTGAGATGATGGATATTAACTTACTGTGGTGATCATTTTGCAATGACCACATATCAGATTATATCTCAGTGGAACTGAGAAACCAAAGAGAAATTTGGTTTCCTTTGAGAGGATGTTTCCAGGAAAAGAGAAAAAAAAAAAAAAACCGACCTTTTGGTTAACCTATGTGGCCATAACAGAAATGACTATATGATTTTCCTTAAATTTTTAAACATTGAAAACAGCATTAAGAAACTTCTTAATTGCGACTGGAGTCCAGAAAATCATGAAAGGGTATCAGCAGAGTTCTTTTATTATGGCACTTTATGTGAAGGTAGTTTTAAAAGCCTTCAAGCCTTCTTTAAAACTCTTATTAGGTGTGAGCCCTGTTTTGTTCATTTTGTATTAATATATCAATATTTTCTCTTCCCTGGTAGGCAAAAGTCTGGATTCCACCTGCTACTGGCATACAGGAAACTGAAAATTAAGTCAAGTGACTGCAGGACAAGGGACCTGGGTGAGGAGAGCCCTGGGCATTGAGGAAGACTCTGCTCTTGAGCCCAAGAAGTCTGGAGGGTCTCCATGCAGGCGGACAGGGATGAAGGTTCCAGGCTTAGTAGGAGCCCCTTGTCCCTGATGTGTTTTGATTTCTCTGCCCCATCCACTACATCTTAGTGCAGCTGTCTCCCTGTTAAACAAATACTGTCAAGATTAATATAAGTGTCTGCATTTTGGCTATCAGTCAATCAGGTGACACTTAATTTCACCTTTACAAACAAACCAAAGAGATAATCCTGGGATTTGGGAGCTCCATGTCCCTCTCTCTCCTCCCCTAAGCCTCTTTCTTTCCCAATGGAGAAATGAATTGAGCCTTACCCCATCTGGACCTCCAGGGCCTGCTATGGAACAAGTGAAACCACTTTCGGGCTGGTGGACCTTGAGGCAGTATCTCCTCCAGGGCGTGGTGTTCAGTAGAAAGAGATACGGGAGGCAAGGGAATTGAAGGGGAAGATCCCTTTCATTCCCTACTACAATCCCCCCCGCAGGGAGGATGGAGAATAAACTTCCTGACTTGTAGCTTTCTCCCCATACCACTTATATTAGTTCTCTATTGCTGCATATCAAATTGCCCTAAAACCTAGTGCTTGAAACAGCATACCTTTATTATCCTCTGGTTTCTGTGATTCAGGAATCCAGGGGCAGCTGAACCTGGTGCCTCTGTCCAAGGTTTCTCACAGACTGCAGTGAAGCTGTTGGCTGGGGCTGCGGTGGGTCTCATCTCACGGCTTGGCTAGGCAACTGGGCAAGGATCTGCAAGCTCACTCACGTGGTTGTTGGCTGGATTCAGCAACTCAAGGGCTGCTGGCTGAAGGCTGCCCTCAATTCCTTGGCATGTGGGTCTCTCCCTCTCTCTAGGGCGCCTCACAACATGGCAGCTGGCTTCCTTCAGAGCAAGCAGGTAAGTGAGATAGTGAAAGATAAGGAGAGAGAGAAAGAGATGAGAGGGTAGCTCACAACATGGCAGCTGGCTTCCTTCAGAGCAAGCAGGTAAGTGAGATAGTGAAAGATAAGGGGAGAGAGAAAGAGATGGAAGCTAAAGTATCATAACCTAATCTCAGATGTGACTTTTGCCCTGTTATTCATTCAAAGTGAGTCACGAGGCTCAGCCCACAGTCAAGGCACAGACACCACACAAGGGAATGAAGACAAGGAGCCACCCCAGTGGCTGTCTAGTACACAGTTCAAATCCCAAATTAATGCCAGTGTTACACTATTTCACCTTCTTAGAGCTTTCTTCTCCCCATATCCAACCCGGACAACTCTGACCCACTGTCCAGGCCTCAGAGTAAATGCTCCCCTGCAGGACTGAGTCACATGTCCCTCAAGCACTCCTCTCTGGCACCGTGGACTTCATCCTATCCACTCCCATACTACGCAGTTACCTGGCCACTCGTCTGCCTCCTGCACCTTCTGTAAGCTCTGTGAGGACAGCAACCTTGTCACCTCTCTCACTGATGTGGACCCAGACCCAAGCGCAGGGCTAAAATGTGCTAGACACTCAGTTATTGTTTACCAACTTACTAAGTGAATCCTCTTGTTATACAGCTCCATTTTTCTTTCTTCTGATTAAAACTCCTCAGTGGCTTTGCATAACAAAGAGTAGGGAGTGTGCACTCTTCTTAGAATAGCATTCAACCCCTTGCCCAGTCTGGCCCCAGCCCACGTACTGTCACTCCCTGTAATACACATACCCCATTGTCAACCCCACCAGGCTCCTGGCTCTTCTCTGAACCAAATGTGCCCAGGGCTTCCCTCCCACCTCTGCCAGATAGGTCCTTGCTCCATTTCACATCTGAAAATCCCTATTCCTCCTTCACGACTGAAGCCCCCAGGTCACTCAGGTGGTCTCCCTAGCCTCTCTGCCCACCGCCCCCAGCAGTACTTGTTCAGATCTCTTTTTTAAGCACGCTGTGCTATCTTATTCCTAGTTGCTTATACATCTCTCTCCCTGACTAGACTGTGAACTGCTTGAGAATTGTTCACCATCCAGGCCTACCATGAAGTAGGTGCACTGCAAATATTTGGAGAAAAAAATCAAAGACTAGTTGATTAGTAACACACATGCGCACACACACACATATGCACACACACACTCACTAGGGATCCTCCTCTCCAGTCCCTAAGGAAGAAAGAAGATCCTGGATCCTAGCTCTGAAAACTAAATGCAATTGCTACTCCATGTGTCTTAAAGGATCAACTCAACCGTCACCGAGTTGAGTGTTGAAAATAATGTGTTTTATTTATAAAGGTGTTTTGTATCATGCTGTGCAGATGTTTTCCTAACATGAATCTCCATACACCAGGTACCTATGTTTATAATTTAACAATATAAATAATTTGCACCCTATAAATTTGTTTTTATGTTGATAAAAACTCCTTAATCCCTGCAACCCTAAAGCACACAGTGCTACTCTAAAGAGCCTGGTGAGGGTCATGGGAAGACCCAGTGGGGAGCCTCACACAGTGAAGCCTGTTACTTCTGAGCCGCAGAAGACATGTTTGTTTATTACAACACCTTTGAAACACCTGTTATGTGTTTAACAGGATAAATGTAGTGGCGTATAGGTGAAAAGCAATTGAATAATCATGGCTTTAAACCTTTTGCGGTTCACAAGAAGGTTAAGGTTAAGTCATCTAGTGTATTTCTCCATTCTGATGTTTGAATAACCACATTTATCTTCTCTTGTACTTTTACAGTCTTCCTTTTATTTTTTCCCCAAGATCTCACAATAACTCTGGGAGACAGTAGATATTGTTGTCCCCATTTTAGTATGAAACTTAAGTACAGAATAATGAAGGGATTTACCCAAGCTTTCATAGGTCAGGGATAGCGCGCAGAGAGAGGTAGTGGTTTTGGGCCCAGGCTTTGAAACAGCACTGCCCAGGTCAAATCCCAACTCTTACCTTTAGAGGTGACCTTGAACACATTATTTCACCTCTCTGTCTCAGTTTCCTTACCTGTAAGCAGAGATAATATCCATCTCGTGGGTTTTTGTGATGATAAATGGGTTAATACATGGTCATCATTAATTCTGTATTCAGTCACTTGGAAAGAAGCCTATGAACCTCTGGTGACTACACTGTTTTTTCAAAAAGCATAGGGAATTGAAGTGCCTGGAATATTTCAATCACTGATGAAAAAATAACCCTCAGGATATTCAGTCAGCATCATGTAAGGCAGCAGTTTCCAAAGTAGGTTCAACAGGATAAAACATTCATAACATACTCCAAGGAATAAGAGAGGTTGGTGATGACAGAGCTTGGAAAACATGGCAAAATACACCCTTCATCTTTGAGAGTCATGGTGGCACAATAACATGTTACGGGCACTGAGGCTAGTTTGGTATGACATACCACAGGTGGGTACATAGTACATAGTAGCATTTAATAAGTAGTTTTTTTACTATCTTGTTGACTAGTTGAAAGAACAAATCTGTCGCTAATCAATGGGTAGAGGAATGACTGATCTTGCCCTACCTACAAAAAGATGGTGAGCCATCTATGTTCTGATGCCGTTGCCTTGAGACAAATGATGATCATGAAAATGACCACCCTCCCACTCACAGCCATGCTGAGTCCTTCCCCCACCTACGCTGTGTCCAGTCAGTGCTTGTCTTCACAGATCTGAACCAACGTTACCCTCCTTTTACCCAAAGAAGCTCAATTAAAGAAGCAATTTGTCCATATAATGCATACTTAGAAAGTGTGTTAGCCCATTCAGGGTGCTATAACACACCACCACAGACTGGGTGGCTTATAAGCAACAGAAACTTATTTCTCAAAATTCTAGAGGCTGGAAGTCTGAGATCAGGGCACCAGCACAGTTGTATGAAGGCCCTTTTCCAGATCACAGGCTTCTTGTTGTATCCTCATCCTCACCTGGCAGAAGGGGCCAGGGAGCTCTGTGGGGTCTCCTTTTATAAGGGCACTAATCCCTCTTATGAGGGCTCCACCCCCATGACCTTGGGACTCCCAAGTCTCCTCCTCCTAGTACCATCCCACTGGGCATTAGGATTTCAACAGTTGGATTTGATGGGGACACAAATATTCATACCATTATTCATACCATAGCAGCGGTGGATAGAAAGGGAGACTATGAGATACATGAGTGTGTGTGTGTGTGTGTGTGTGTAGGCGAGAGAATGAGAGAAAAGGGACAGAGTGTGGGGAGAATGAATGGGCCTGGGGAGAGGGATTTAGAGGCAGACTAAGACTCAGAGATTGAGCTGCAGGCAGATTACTCTGGGTATAAAGGTAAGAAAAGGGAAACTACCAAAACATTTAAACTCCAGCGCTATCCCTAGAAGATAATTTAGGATGAAAGATAAACAATTCAAAAAGACATAAACTCAGCATTCACACCATGCAAGTCATGAGAGAGGGTTGGGATGGTCCCAGTTTGACTTGCATCTTATTCCTGGCCCTGCCCCTGCCCAGATGTGCGGTGGTTGAGGTACTAAGAGCCTGAGGATTCCATCTGGAACGAAGCCCAAAGTCAGACGCAGACTGCCCGGGGGATGGTGAGGGTAGTCATGAGGACATCTCACTGCTGTGTCTCCCTTCAAATGTTACTAATTGTTTTCACTTAATACACCTTTTGGGCCTCATAACTACTCCCAGAATTTAGATTTTATGGGCATTTTAATCCTTATTTTAGAGATGAGGAATCTGAGGCTAAGAAAATGAAGAGGACTTTTCAAAACTAGTATGACCCGGAAGAAGTAACAGTATAAAACTCATGAACTCTTGGCCCGCATCTCCTCCCCTTTCCAACAGCACACCCATCTGTCTCCACCCAGCATTGCTGTCGAGGAACATCCAGGGTGTTCAGGACCAGAGGAACCTCATCCTCGCTCTCTTCAAAGCATCCTTAGCTCTCTCCTCCTCATGCTGTAGATCAAGGGGTTCAGCACAGGGAGAATGAACGTGTAAACCACAGACACTACCTGGCCCATCTCTGGAGCGCAGCTGGAGCTGGGGCACAGGTAGCTGAGGCTTCCACATCCGTACCGGAGCGGGACCACAGTCGGGTGGGAGGAGCAGGTGGAGAAGGCCTTGTGCCTCCCCTCTGCGGAGCGGACCCTCAGGATGGCAGCCACGATGAAGACATAGGAGAGGGCGATGAACAGAAAGCAAGTGGTGAGGACGGTGATGCTGACCACAGAGTGGCCTCATGGACCCAAGTGTCTGCACAGGCCAGTCGTGACAGGGAGGACATGGCCATAGAACAGGCTGATTTCCTTGCTGCCGCAAAAGAGCAGCAGAAACATGAGCACAGTCAGCTGCATGGCCAAGATGAACCCAAGCACGAGAGACCCCAAGGCCAGTCGGACGCACAACTGCCGGCTCATCGTGAGGGTGAAATGCAAAGGGTGACAGATGGCCACAAACCGGTCACAGGACATGATGGCCAACAAAATGCAGTTAGTGCTGCCCACGAAGATAAAGAATATCTGCCACAGCCTGGCGGGGAGATGAGGGTTCTCTCTGTGGACAGGACACTGGCCAGAGTCAGA